TGCCAAAGTAGTCGAGATGCCCTAAGAAGGCTATCCTAAGAGGCAAAAACCTCTGGTTTTCCAACTGGAGGTATGAAAGGACATTGTGTTGAAAGGGCATGGCTCACAGAGTGAGTCACTTGCTGATTCTGAATTCTCTGATCTCTCCGGGTCACAGAAAGACCTGGGGACAATTCAGGGCCCAGACCCTTGAATCCTAGGAAAAGGGTATGACGCGCAGGGCAGTGTCCTGACAAGCAGCTAGAGCAGCTTTGCCTGCTGTAGGGCTGGGCACATGTGGCAGGTTCCTGTGGAAAGGGACTCCTCCCTGGGAACAGAAGGAGACACTGTGGAATGTTTTTTGTGAAATACTGTGGGATTTTGGGTTGTAGAAATATTTGCCTTCTGCTGGAATAGTTGATAGATTTTTCTTTTTGTTACGCTTTTTTACTAATACTTTGATGTGATTTGCACTTGATTTGGTGAGTTAATGTCATTCATCGAGTTACCAGTTACATATCAGACAACAGACTAGATACTTTATGTTATCTTACGTAACCCACAGGAGAGAGTTTCTGATTTAGCACGGGGACATATGGCCAAGGTGTAAAATCCCCCCTACTTTTAAGAGTGAAGTGAATGGGGTTCAAATAATACAGTCAGCAAAGATCTGCTCTTACAATCAACCCCTGGCACAGAGCTTAGGGTTACCAAAATGATAGCTTCTATCAAATGATTATTTCTAGAAGAACCAATATCTCTTTCAGAGTGTGTATTGCATAAGAACCTTCATTTAGAGAAAAAAATTTAGCTGGGTTTTTAAACAGAAAGTTATCATTATCTTGTAAGCAACTTTGCCTGTGTTTGTAGCCAGTGAGGGCAGCCAGGAACCAGGTTCAAAGTGAAAACCTTTTGGCAGCTGAAAACTTTCATCAAGGTTCTGCCAAAGAGTTCTTTCAGGAGGGTGACGCTTTCTTCACTGATTTGCTTCATCACCGCAGAAGACAAAGCCTTGGGAGAAGGGCCGTCCATCCTGTGATCCCCAATTAATGACTACAGGAATTAGGAAAACAGAATTTAGGCAACAAGAGCAGAGGCAGAGTATAAGTATAGAGGGCTTTTGAGTTAGCGAGATTTTTGCTGGAATTTAATTATATTCTCCAGTTGTGACCAGAGTGATGGTGGAAGGGAGACACCTTGGTGGGGTGGCAGGTAAGATGAGGTGGCTGATGCCACACACTGTGCTACAGGTGCATTGTATTTGGCAGAGCAGATCTGGTTTACGTCTTGGACTACATGAGACTGTGAATAATGATAATGTTAATAGCACTGCATTTATGTGGAGGATTTGTGACCTCCTAAGTTCTTTCTACATTCAATCTGGAAGTAACCCTGCTTACTCAAATAAAATGTCTGAAATTATTTAATTCAACACCCTCATTTTAAAGGTTAAAGAACCTGAGGCACAGGGGTAAATGATATCTTGGGTGAGTGTTAGAGCTGGACCAGAACTCCTGTCTCCTGACTCCTGGCCAAGTGACTTTGATGCCCTTGACTGATGGACAGCTCTGCGGAGGGAAGGGCACTTTAGGCTGGCAGGGAAGAATGGCAGGGCCAGATTGGAGGGAGTGGAGGAGGCGCCTGGTAGGGAATGGAAAGGCCATAAAGAATGAAAATATCTATTTCTGTTGGCTACATCCTCAGAACAAACATGACTCCCAAATGCTCCTTAACAGAGGCATAAACAGTGACACAGAAGAACCACAGGGATGGATTGACCAAAGGCCATGACATGTCTTTGTGCATAATGACTAAGCACCCCTATTTATCCATAAGACTCTTAACCCAGCTCTTGCTTTTTCTTTTAAGTCATTGGGAGACCTTCTCTACCATTTCTCTCTTTTCATTTGGTTTCTGGCTGCTATTTAGAATCTAGCTGCCCATTTGTCTCAGGTTCTAGGCTGAAGGAAGATGAAGAAGGTGAGGATGACGAACCTGGACCACATGACTTGCCTGCAGTGTTTTGCTATTTTGAAAGGGGGCTGTAGAGAAGAATAATGAGCAAGTTCATGAGTCAACATTATATTTATCCCTCTATTGTGAGGAATACTCCCTCTACTTCTTTTGTGAAGCATAATCATTTGTTAGTTTTAGTAAGACATTTCCCTGCCCACTGATAAGGAAACAAAAAGACATTGACTGTGCTAGTCTCTAGAATGTGAAATGTAAGCTGTGGTCTTTTGTTTGTTTGTTTGTTTTTAGCTTTCATTTATGATCACAGGCTTCAAGGTTGCAGGGGGCCTTGGAGGACCGCCAGCCTCACCACCCCCTTCCGTGCAGGAAGCCCCTTCCCAACATCCCTGCCAGTGTTTCTGATTCCCTTCCTCTGCATCCCCACAGCGAGTTGTCTCCACCCCTGTAGGAACACTTACTTCATTTTGCTCTAAATTGCAGTTATTTGAGGACTTTTCTTATCTCAGCTGTGGGCCCCCAAGGGCAGGAATTCTGTTTCATGCCTCTTTGATCTCCCACAGCCCCCAACACAAAGCCTGGCCAATTCTCCATAAATATTTGAATGAGTGACAAAGTGTTAACAGCCTCCAGAGGTGGCCACAGTTAGACATCACTAATAGCTAGAAAGCTCTTCCTAAAAGTGAGCAGAAGTATGCCTCCCTATGTTCTCTGGGGAGAGAATGTAAACAGGCAGTGATGACAAGGGGCCAAGCATCCATAAGATGTCCATGAGGGACCCTGGGGACAGGTTAGTGCTCTGCTCTTACTGTGTTGCTTGCTTCCCATCTGGCCAAAGCACGCAAGATCTTTCCTAGGACAGGAAAACCCAATAGCACTAGATAAATCTGGATAAATGTGGCGGCGGGTGGGGGGGTGGGGGGGTTAGTGTCAGGATTTGAATCTAGTTTGGAAGGATAGCTCCATTGGATGCTGTCAATGCTGCACCTGTATCCCCTCAACAGACCCTGGCGGTTAAAATGCAGGTGGTTTGCATACACACTGGTAGCTTCCTGCATCTCTCTGACCTGAGAGGTGCGTTTGGTCTGTGCCTGTGTGTAGGTCAGGCTGGAAATGCCATGGAGTTATTCCAGGAGGGACCCTCTACCATGAGCAGCTGGATTTGGTGCATAAAGGAACGACCTCTAATTGCTTATAGCACTAATCCATTAATAAACACATCGTTTATTCATTTTCTTTCCTTTTTGCTTTGACTTGCCCACTCCCTCACCTTGCTTTCTGCAGTCTCGTTCAAATAAGTCATCTGACCCAAATTCTTGTCTCAAGTCTGCTTTGGGGGCAACGCGAACCAAGACAGTGACACAAGCAAGAAATTTGGGGGAATCCAAATGTCATTCCCTTACCAGACAAAACTATTAAAATCAGTACATGCCTTTTATCTCTTTTCTTTCCAAGTAGGGTTGGTTTTTCTGTCAATTCTATAAAATAGAGTTTAATTTTAAATAGAATCTGTGTCCTAACTCAGAAAACAAGGCTGATAATGATTGCCAAATCTTTGAAGGATAGTTATTTCAAATAACAAGATTCTAGCTCTATTAAGGAAATGTACTGCGTTCAGAAAGGTCTTAGGCCAGACTAAAGAAAGAGATTGCACATGGAGGTCATTAGACATCGGAATGGATTTGTGTTTGAGCACTTCACTTAACCTTTTAAATTTCCACAGAGGCCTTTTAAATGAAGAAGAGACCTTCTCAACCTGGCTTGGGTTTGGGACGGAGTGCTTGAGGTTAGGGACAGCTAAGATGAATAGGGACCACGAGGGAAGAGGAGAAGGAAAATAAAAAAACCTTCATTTACCCAGTATTAATGAACTACTCCTGAGCTAATAATAGAGCTAGGAGAAAATGCCATTGCTGAAGAATATTTCTTGTCATTTGAGAAGATCTGTAACAAAGAACAAAGGTGCACAAGCAACTTGCTGCCCTAGTCCTTCTTCAGGCAGACATTGTCTGATTCAGAAAAGCTCTCGGTGGATGCCACAATATTACTTGATTGTTTTGACACCTCAGACAATTAATAGGAAGTAGCAGTTAAAAATAATCATGCTCGCTACTGTCTTGTGTTTGTGGGGGTTTTCTTTTGCCTTGTTCCTTCCTGGAGGGTTTTTTTGTTGCCCTGGTAGGAAACAACGACACATGGTCATGAATTTTTAATTGGTTATCAAAGATGGAAATGATTGTAAACAAAACACATGATGAGAGAAGTCAGCAGGGCCAGGAGAGCCCTACACATGCTTTTTTGGGCATACCCCACAGATGCCTTTTTTGGGGTTAGGTAGGGAAATATGTCTAAGTCTAGTAGAGCTAAGAAAGGGTCCCACAGATCTTTTTTTCTAATTAGTTTAGCCAATATACAGTACATCATTAGTTTCAGATGTATATTATTAGCATGGAAGACCTGTTGCTTCAAATGCTCTCTTTATTTGAATCTTGACTGATGGCTAGTGTCCCAGGTCTTTTGGTAGGGAGAGGGGTGGGGCTTCAGCAAATTCTCTTGGTGATAGGAAGATGCATAATTGTCATGTGAGACGTGTCCTTTGCTCTTTTTGATGAACACCACTACCCTGTTGTAGGAGGCAATAATGACCTGGGTCTAACTCTCTCCTGAGCAAGAGAGGTGCCTTTTGCCCTAGTTTGAGGCTCTGTTTCCAGAGTGATTCTTGGAAGCATCATGTTTCCAAAGTGTGGGGAGTGCTGAGGGCATCCATGTAAAGTGACCACATTCATGTGCATTAATAGTTGACACAAAAATTATATTGGTGCCCTAGGATGAAAGATCTCAGTTATTGTACCTCCGTTCAGCTGAAATTTTATGTTGCAGACAGACTTCACTTGGGCCCCAAATGAATACACTAGTGTGGCCTATACTAGCCTCTTTCAGACTTTTGTTTTGACTAGTCTCCTTCTCCAAATACTCACCCACCCCAAAGGTGCTCAATGGATGCTGTTCCAGCTTGCCCCAATAAGTGCTCCCTCCCTTCTGCTTCCTAGAATGCATATGTCAACATCAACCGCATCATGTCTGTGGCTTCTCGCCTCTCTGAGGCCGGTCATTATGCCTCGCAGCAAATCAAGCAGATCTCCACACAGCTGGACCAAGAGTGGAAGAGCTTCGCAGCTGCTCTGGATGAACGCAGCACCATCCTTGCCATGTCTGCGGTGTTCCACCAGAAGGCCGAGCAGGTGAGGCCAAGGGAGCGGCTGTGGTTGCTATTGGTTGGAAGGGTGAGAGTACATACACGGTCTGTGTAGAGAGCCCCTCCTCTCTTCTTGAAACACTCAAGAGCCTGCTGAGTAGTTACAGCGGTAACCCCTGTTCTGCTGCTTTCCTGGCTCCTATGTACACAAGGAAACGTTGGCCACTCTGGGTGGCTTTGTTTAACATCCACACAAGAAGCAACCTAGAGCTGTTTACATTCTGTTTGGTAGTTTATTGTTGGGGGAGTGTGCCTGTGTGTGTGTTGACCACATTTCCAGAGCATAGACAAAAGGGGTGAAACTAAATCTGATCATTGAGCGCTGAGAGCAGGGGGAAATTACTCTTACATGAAGCATTTGCTATGGGCAATAGTAATGTAATAATTACCCAATGGATGGAAATATAATTATTTGTTGCTCTTTACTTACTGGTATTGGTCAGTGACATCACTAACCCGTTTTACAGAGAGGAGCACTGCAGCTCAGAGAGATTAAGTGACTTACGCAAGAACTAGTGGTGTGTTGGGGCTGGCTCTAACCAGCCTATGGAGAGCCAAATGTCAGATTTTCAGGAAATTTGTGAGCGGGCTATTAAACATAGCCATTACTTAAAACAAAATTATATTGATTTAAAGTAAATATATTAAACACAAAGGCAGTAGATACTCAAAACTCATCACTCCTGGTTATTTTACTACATTTTATTATTACTTACATTCTTGAAATTATATCTATTTGTCTCTGCGGTGAAAATACTATACAATTGCCTGCTCCTGATGAACTCTTCCCAAGTCCACATTCTGTGATGTCACTTGATGGCTTGAAAAAGACCAAGGTAGAAGTTTTACACCATGGGAATCATTGAATGCCATAAACTAGGGCTTGATTTATTGTTTTTGTTGATTATCTGGAGTCTTAAGAAAATGAGGAAAAACATATTTTGAAGTGCAGACTAACCTTAAAAATGTGTCCTGTCTGTAGCTCTTACATGGTGAATAATAGCACACCAAATTGAGGAAATATTCTTCTGATATCCAAAAACTATTATTCCATTTAACACAGAAGTCACTCACATCACTGATGAAAGAGGAATGCTCTGATGTAAGCCTTAAGGTATTTTTCACTTTTGTATTACCCTTCAACATAAGTGAATATATCAACTAGCTTTCATACAAGTTTGTCATTCACAAACAAAAACATTATTTGAGAATCAGTTGGCTTTATAGAATTTATAATAAGGAGCATTGTGTATGTTTTTATTCTCTGCAAATTATGTATTACATATCCTTTATATCAGTAAAGTTTACAATATATTTGTGTATACACACACACACACACACACACACACTGATGATTAAACATTTACTAACACACCACTGCGAAAATCACACAATCTATAACAGCTGGGATTTCAACAGAGATGTGTCTGACGTTAAAGCTTGTGGTTTTAACCTCTAAATTCCTTTCTTTGTATGACATTTGGGTAGCCTACAGATGGTGGAGAGTCCTAGATGAGGTCATACCTTAAATCTCTCCCCGTGTTTTACCCACCTAACATGGAAGGCAGCATGGTATAATTGAAAGAGCCTGCGCTTTGTGGCCAGGTACACGTAGGTTCTAATCATTAACTCTTAGACAAGTCACCTCACCATTTTGGGCTTGTTTCCTCATCTCTAATGCAAGATAATCATAAACCTTACAGTGCTATTATAAGAATGAGGTGGAACATGTAAGGTGTCTATTGTGCTTTTTTAAATCCTAGACATGACTACTGTATTCGTTCAACACACTATCTCGGTATCTTTGTATTTCCCTCACCCGTGTCTCTTTCTACCTGAGACTTCCCAAAGACTGAAATACTTGGGTCATAAGTCAGGGGCCCCACACGTTGAAAGGGATCTAGACCTTTTTTTTTTTTTTTTTTTTTTTTTAAGGATGATGGTGGTAGTAACTGCTAATGACTAGTTCACTCCTAGGACCAGGAGAATATTCATGTCGAATGGTAGAGTTCTCTCTTCAACCCCACCATTTACACATTTTGTTCAAAGTTTATCCAGATTGGCAAGGGAGATTCAGTACTTCCCTTTCTGCCTCTCCTTGAACTAACCATTCTGTGGGGTCTGCTATAGGACTCTTGATAGGGCGTACGAGAATCCCAATGGCCTTGGAGAGGCACTTCCCCCAAGGTTGACAGATGAATGCCAAGTTGCTTTCAGGTGCCTCTGTAAAATGGTTATTGGTAGAGCAAAGAAGTTTCTGAGATGTTAGCAAGTGTATGCAACCTGATGCTGGATGGCACCTGGCAGGCTTCCAGTTTTGTTAAGCTATGACCTAATGGGATAAAGACATACGGAATGAAAAATCAACCAGGACAGCCACCAGGCCAGGGTCTGCAAGCTGACGGACACCAGGACTGGAACTGAAGCAGCTGCAGAAAATGCAATGCCAGAACCGAGAGTAGCTGGAGGAGTCAGCTTCTAGTTGATGTTTCCTGACTTGGTCTGCTTGGGATCAAGACCAATTTTATTTGTATCTATTTTTTAATGCAATTTCCTCAGGTATTTCTAGTCCTTCAGGGAAACTCATAAACCATGCTTCTTTTTAGCTGGGGGAAACAAACAAACACACACCAAACAACAGATTCAAGGCTATTTTTTCAAGGCTATTATGCATTTATTTAGGCAGCTCTTTATTGTCCTCATATGGGCTGTTCTAGGCAACGAGATAAAAAGGCATTTAGGCAATTAATTTAAATAGAGCTGTGCACCCAGGCGAGAGGAATCACAGACAGAACCATTCCAGACTGTTGGGTGAAGAATCATTTGCATTTTAGAGGTGTGTTTTTCCACCTAATAAATCCTAGTGATTTCAGTTAGCTCACCTTTTGTGCATGGAGACCCATAGTCTTCCACAGTTGTTAATTTTAATTTTTAAGTAATTTTATATCTGTTGAGATCTCTATCTATATGTCACATCCCAGGAACCAGTGCTGCCATAGGCACAGTGGAGTCTGTCCCACCCCTAAGCATACTGACCCAACAGTGGGAATCTCATCCAGCATTAACCTCCATCGCCGGTGGGAACGGCCTCTGCAAGTTCCCTGGGGTACCTGATGGCCTCATATGAGCTGTTCTTTGTTCCTCTTCACAACCCATTATACGTGTGTGACAACATTCCGGTTATACTGCACATAGGACAAGCGTGCATAGGACAAGAGGCTCTGAGGTACCCATGTGATGTGGTGAGCTGTTCCCACACATTCTAGCCAGTGTGTAGATTAGCCTGTCGAACACGTAGATGGCTCCCACTCCAGCGGTTTCTCAAGAGTCATCTTTGTGGAAACCACACTTCTCGCAGAGGTGCTTCGTCTGACTTCTTTCAGGGGATTGGTGTGTTTGTAGAATTAAAGAAAAAACTCCACCCTCTGCAGTGGTCTCGGAGGCTCCCAGAGGTCCTGATGCTTCTTCCCGAGGAATCTGCCCGGCTCTACGAAATCTGCCTGTTGCCCACCCCGTGCTCCACACTGACCCAGTTGCTGTGTCCTTTCAGTTCCTGTCAGGAGTGGACGCGTGGTGCAAGATGTGCAGCGAGGGTGGCCTGCCCTCTGAGATGCAGGACCTGGAGCTGGCAATCCACCACCACCAGTCCTTGTACGAGCAGGTGACCCAGGCCTACACAGAGGTGAGGACTAGACAGGGCACCCAGGGGTCTTGGGTATGTGTGGATGTGGGTGAGTGGCGAGAGCACTGGCTGGCCCACTGTGTATTCGCCTGGGTTGGAGTTGGGAGAAGAGAGAGGCCTCTTCTCTCCCTTTGGAGGCCTCTTCTCTCCCTTTGGAGGCATCTTTAAGATCCTTGATCTATGAATGATGAGGTCTCCGGCCAGGAAGCAGAAACAATGCAGCCATCAGCAGGCGCCACCTTGTTGCACGTGTGCATGTGCACACACACACACACAAACCTTCTTCACCTTATGTGTGAAGACCAGACTCTCTCCCCTAGAAGACGAATATAAGAAAGCAAGGCTCTGCTCCTCAGTTTGCTTTCTGGCTGGTGAACGGGTGTGTACACACCAGCTCTGCTGCCCCTTTTATGAAGCAGCTCATCAACAAATACCAATGTTCTCACGAGAAAGTCCAGAGGAGAACTCACCATGGGGTAGAGATAAATGTTTATAGGAGTGAGAAGCCGCCATGAACGTGAAGGACAAATTAAAAGACTCTTTCACTGAAAAATCAAAGGCTGGCCACATGGTTCAAGTTAAGAAGGGGGCGGAAGCTTCTTGACTTTGCTTTCCAAGGAAAAGGAAAGGGGCATGTGGGGGCATCTGTGTGGACATAGACAAGTGGGTGAGTTGACTAACTGGCGTGGATTCTGAGGAAGAGGCTGAGGGACATAAAGCAATGGGGCAATTAAGGCAGCCGGATGAGGAAGGGGAAAGCCAATTCACGTCTGGCCCATGGGGCAAGGAGAGTTGGGGCAGTGCTTTCCCAAGTGGGTAAAGCTGCATGTTCCTGGGTCCACCCCAGACTGAATTGGAATGTCAACAAGTGGGATCCGGAACCTACATTTTAATAAATGTTACCACGGGGCAAATTTGACGCATGCGGAAGTCAAGGAACCAGGGGCTTGTGGGGGAGGATAAAGGTTTTTGCCAGAGTCCAAGCTGAGGTTGCCTCTCGGCCCCCCTGCTTATTGACGTGACTTCGGGCAAGTTAAGTACTCTAGCTTCACTGTCTTCTGTGAAATGAAGGTGCTAACGCTGGCCTGTGGCTTGAAGGATCACAAAGATGGCACATGGAACATGCGCGGCCCTGGTCCTGACAGTAATAAGTGCTAAAAAAAAAAAATGGTAACAGGTTTTGTTAGTATAGGAGGCAGGGAGGAGGACTCGTGAGCCAAATCTGATCTCATCAGCCTGGATCCAAATGGCCGAGGGCTTTCTCTTAGAACAGAACTGTGCCCTGTGCCCCTGCCCATAGGTCAAGAATCTCTAAATTTACTCCTGTAAGACATAAACACAGAGCCTACAAGTGAGATTACTGGTACACTTACACATTTCACGCTTGTGGGGGTGTCCGTGTCAATACACAGAGAGACCCAGGATTTCTCCCGGTGTTTTCTCAGGCCCTAGCGCTGGGGGACAGACATTCCCTCCAAGCCCACTTCAGAGGTCAGCGGGCTGTCCCTGCCTCGTGCAGATGTGCACTGCAGCAGAGGACTGGGGCCCTAGCGACCTGGATCTTAGGACGTGGCCTTCTGTCTCTAAGCACCCCGCCCTGGACGTAGCACGGTGCCGAAGATAGCACCTGCCCAGAGTTCCCTGAGGAGAGCTCTCCTGGGTTTGGCCGCAGGATCTTTGTCTCATTCACATCTCTGGAGGGTGCTGCCTCTGTTATCCCGACGCGGCCCCTCCCCTTGCCCTGCCCTAGGGGTGCTTTAAGGGGGCCAGGCCTGGTGGGATGGGGTGGGTAGCAGTAGTCCCCTAGGTTGGCCGTGTTCCTCCAGCCAGGCTTCCTCTCCTGTCTCAGCTACAGAACTCTCTACCTAGTATTCCTCTTCCTCAGCCCTCGCCCTGGCCCCACACCTTTTCTGTTGCCCCGAGAACAGGGTGTAACATGTCTTTGTGTTGCTGAACCCTGAGCAAGCTAGTATCAGGACCCGAGGAGGGGTGAGGGGAGGCCGGAGCACAGCAAACAGCTCCTGGGTCATCATCACAAGGCTGCAGGTAGGAGCAGACCCGCTTCCCCACCTTGCTAGAAGGAAAAGACCACTTCGACTCCAAGCCAACTTTGACTTCATCATTAACCGAATTAATTTAGGGCCTTAAAATCCCCTAATTCCCTGGTCACCACTGATTTCAACTGGAAAGCCGCATGCTCTCCCACGTCCTCTGCCAGCACTGGAGAGCCACAGGGGTTGACCAGATGATGCCCCTTTACAGAGAGGCGGGTGCCCTTCATTGTGCCAGGATTCCAATAAGGAATGACAGGGGATGTGACCCCCACTGGTCTCAGCACTGAGTGCGAATGTTGGGGGGGATGCAAGAGCATCGCTCTTGAATCTCCAGTCAAGGGGTGGGTCCCTTAGCCTGCACGCTCTGGAAAGAGGGGGTTGTTAGCACTCTCAGGAGGCAAAAAGGACGTTATAGAGAAGGAGAGCAAAAGAAGGATAAATATAAAAGAAAGACAATGAGGGAGAATTAAGGAAGACAGGAGAGAGCAATGATGATGATAAAGGTGCTGATGGTGAGAACAGAACCGGGAGCCAGTCCTCCCTGCCGGGGCCTATTCTGGGCACGCTGCGGGGAACCTGCTCAACCCTTGCCGCAGCTCCGGGAGGTTGTCCCCTTACTGCCCCTGTTCTACGGACAAGGAAATTGAGGCCCAAAGGGGTCCAGTAACTTGCCTCTGGTCTCGCATCTAGAAGCTTAGGGCTGGATAGAGGCGGTGAAGAAGAGGGAGAGAGGTTTATGGTATTAATTTATATTTGCTTCATTTGGGAAATGAGGTGCTGCTGCTTGACCTGCTCAGGGAATCAGTCAAAATCCTTATCAGGTATGACGGACCAGGCACCGTTCTAAGCGCTGGGGACAAATGAACAAGGCCAAGTCGCTGCTGGGTTCAAGGGGGGGAGAGAGAGAGAGAGAGAGACACTGATTGAGCTGCTCCCCTCTCCCAGGATTCAGGATGCCCCCCGCCCCCCACGCCAGGCCACGGGCTGAGCGCTGGGGCAGTTCTGGCTGGCATATTCCTCAAGTCCCTAACGAGGGGTCCCCAGGCACCCTGCCCTTGCCTCTCTGTGCCTTGCCTGCTCCTGGACTCCCTGGACTTGACCTTTCCTTCTTGCAGGTCAGCCAGGATGGCAAAGCCCTGCTGGATGTGCTGCAGCGACCCCTGAGTCCCGGGAATTCGGAGTCCCTCACGGCCACTGCCAACTACTCCAAGGCAGTGCACCAGGTGCTGGACGTGGTGCACGAGGTGCTGCACCACCAGCGGCGGCTTGAGAGCATCTGGCAGCACCGCAAGGTGCGTCTCCACCAGCGGCTGCAGCTCTGTGTCTTCCAGCAGGACGTGCAGCAGGTAAGGGGCCACTGCCCGCACCAGGGCATCTGTCCCGGGCAGGCGCCCAGACAGCCAATTTAGGAGGGAAGAGGGCAGTTCAGCGCCACCCCCCAGCTGCCTTATCCACTCCCCGGGCACCATCTGGACTTGGTAGTTGCATGCTTCTCGCCAGAGCAGCTCTACAGATGGGCCTTCTCACTCTCTGGTGTGGGCAAGGAGGCTCTGCCAGAGACAGGGCACCTCCTGCGGCTACGTGGCACCATCTTTGGCGGAGAGCTCGGGTCTCACTCAGTCATGAGCTCTCTAGATGACTCCAGGGCCTGGGGGGGCCATTTGAGCACTGTCAGGGTTGGACCGCACACAGTGAACTCACTTCTCAATCAGCGATGCAGAAGGTCTGCTAAAGTTGGGGTGTGGTTGGGGTACAGGGCCTTTAGGGGATTCTAAGGCAAGGTTTTACTTGGCAAATGAGATTTAAAACACGGGCTATTAATGATCAGAGGTTATTTCTGGCTTAATCTCTCTTTTTGCATTATTATACCAGTCATAGCTTTTCCCCTTACCGCAAATGATAAAGAAATGGTTGTGTTTTGACCATGAAAGGACAGCCTTGCCATGAATTCGCCTTTGAATGAAATAACCCATTCATTTTTCCCTCATATTTTCTCTGACTTCTTGGGGACCCCTGGGAGCTGGGTTCTAGTTTTGATATTCTGGGGGATGGGGAGCGCCATGGTTGGGAGCTGGTAACTGCAGTTGGGGCTCAACACCACCTCCCTACTGATTTCACTGCGAGAGGCAAGGGTCAGGGCACTCATGCTTTCAGACTCTCCTGGGGCCAGTACATAATCTCAAGTCATATAAAATAACATTTCACACGCCGGGGAATCAGCCACGTATGGAAATATATACATGGACACCGCGAGCCAGCTGGACAGGTCTTTGGCATGTGGTCCCCTTCACAGTTGCTATTGGGAGGGGCCCCAGGGCTGGGTGCCCTGAGACAGAGAGAGGCTGGAGGGAGAGCAGGACATGCTATTCCTGACTGTGACGGGCTGGGAGGGGGTTCACCTTGTGACCAGTCTTGGGAGTAGACCAACCTTCAAGAGTGTCTCCAATTTTGGGCTGCCCTGACTTTGTTGTGGGCACCCCTGCCCCACCCTGTTAGGCTGGGGCAAATGATTGAGCCATCAGAGGTGACACCTCGGCCTCGGGAGAGATGGGCACTTATGTGCTGGCCCCAGCTCCCAAACCCTCGTGGAGCCTGCCGGGAATGGAGAAGCAAATGAGTCAGTGGCCTACTGCTGCCATCTGGAACTGTCCAGATAAATACATCATCCCAGAGCACAGGAGAGCACGGAGTCCATCTGTGATTGAGACAGGGTGAGGTGCCAGCCTCCAGAGGCACACACAGGGGTGTTATTGTTTCAGGGAACTTGGAGTGACTCATGGGGGTAACCAGGCTGCAGGTTGTGCCGTGTCCCTCTTTGTCCTTCTGCTGTATCCATGGCTGTGCCACCAGGATGAGCTCTGGGGAGGGACAGAGGGGCTGCAAGAGGGGTCAGGCTAAGGGCCTCCCCAACAGGAAGGTGGCATCCAGACTTGGATCGTCTCCCAGACTTTTCTGTGGCCGCCATGACATCAACACTAAAGCTAGGGGGAAAAAAAAAGTCTAGTAAAGCTACACCTGTGGCCATTCTACATCATGCTCTTAAAAATGAGAGTAGTTTTGGAAATGAGACACTATCAGTTCATTTCTACTGCATGCATCACGTTGTTGGCGCTGAACAAAAGCAAGTAGAACGACGTCGGGTGGATGTGATGGGTTCAGATTTTCCATGAGGACTGAATCCCCCAGGATGGTAATTCCGTTGTTCTTTTCAGGCTATGTGACTCTCACTTCTGGAACATAACTTCACTCACCATTGTCCCACACAGGCTCTCACTCCCCACGTCAGTGACACTGGGAGAGACATGCAAAGGAGAGTGTGGAGGAACAAGGGCTGCCAAATCCGTTAGGGAGTCCCCAGGGCTTACCTCCTACCCTTGTGCCAGTCATTAGTGCCCAGCAGATGGTGGAGTTGGTGCTTCAGAAGGCTTCTGGACATAACGCACTGAACAGTTAGGGCGAAAGACTTGGACTTTGGTCTCCTGACCCCCAGGAACTTTATATATTCCTCAACTTTATTTTGCATGTTGCATCTCATCTATTCCCTTTCTCCTTGAGAGTAGAAACCATGGCTGCTGCTTCTCCGTGCACCTGACCACTCTTAGCTATATCTGATATGAAGCTGGGGGTCTCTTTATATTTGCTGACTTGAGCTGAAATTATTATCAGAGGATCCCCAGCTTCTGTTTCTGTGAGGTGAACACCATTTAACCCTCCCCTCAGCCCACACAGTAGTTGCTAGTGAGTGGCTGGAGCCTGCCCACAGGTGTGGTGGTGGTAAAGTTTTGAGGCTCCCAGGTATTTAGAGCCAAGGTGGAGGAGACAGGGACATAGCCTCAGCACTCACAAAGCATGCCGGTGCTCATCTGTTATCCAGAAAGCTCCATGTTCTGCAGTCGGCCTACAAATGCACTGCATTACGTCCTGGCAAGATGCCTAGTTCGTTAGAATGGCCTAAGACATACCCATTCGAAAAATCTAAAGAACAATTTTATCAAAACGGGCCACTCAGTGTTCAGGGCCATAGAGTATTGATGGGACGGTTATAGGCAGAGGCATGAGAAGTCAGAGTTGGCGTCTTGAGGGAGGAGAGAATTGACAACCACATAGTCCAAGATCCAAGACTCTTGAGCACATTTGAGCTCCAGAGATGTTTGCTCGGCAGCCTCAGTGGAGAGCTTGTGAGCGAGCATCAGTGGCTGCAAGAACACAGAACTGTGCCTAGGAACACAGGCTCTGCAGTCAGACATCCTGAGTGTAAATCCCATCCCCCAAGCCTTGGCTGTGTGCCTGGGCCAGGCATTTCACCTCTGGTGCTTCCACTTCGTGCCCCCTGAAATAGGAATCAGACTGAGTGAGATACAGATACAGGCTTAGCACCCTGGCTGCCTGGCAGGTAGTAAAGCCTCCATCAGCATCGGCCTTGTCTGGGGCCTTAGCCACAGCCTCTGAGTGGGACTCGGGCGCCCCCTGGTGCTTGTGCTATTGGGGACCCCAGCTTGATTCTCCAGCGACTGTTTTGGGGGGTCCGCTGAGTTCTGTTTCGTTCAATGATAAAATCAGAGCTGTCAAAGACCTGAGAGGCCATCTAATCTAGCCTACCATATGATCGAGGAACGTGAGACCCAGCGATGTGAAATAACTTGGCTGTCACCACACAGCTCGTTAATGCAGTGCCAGGACCGGCAAAGTCTTTGGGCTCCTGGTCCAGGTATCCTATAGGAAAGCCACACGAGAGAGGAGCCAGCTAGACAGAGGAAGAGAACAGGGGGAGACACAGGAAGCCCCCAGGCGTGCTTCTATAGAGAGGGGAAAGACAGGCAGACACATGCACACAGCCCAAGACAGGAGGGAGACAGAGACAGCCAATGGGGGCAGAGGAAGAAAGGGAGAGAGACTGGAAGATCGAGGGCGGAGAACACCACATCCTCAGGATGGGAGGAGACAGAGAAAGAGGAAGGCGAAGGAGGGACAGAAGAGAAAGAAGCAGGGCCTCCTGATGGTGGAGGGAGAGGGCTGGAGAGTGCTCCGCCTCTGCCTACCTGACTGCTTGTCCCCTTGCCAATTCCGGCCTGGTCTTTGCCCAAGTAGGAATATTTTACCCATTAAGGGCCCAAAGCAGAGTAAAGCAAAGAGATGAAAACCAAGGGTAGACACGAGCGACAGAGATTCCACTTAAACCCCTGCAGTCAGAATGGGCCCGCACATCCCCCTCGGATGTGGGTGCTCTCCCTTGAGTCCCAACAGATGTGCTCAAGTTTCTTTTCCTTGCTGGGCTTGGAGGCAGTGGAAGTGAGTCTCTAAGGCTCAGACCAGAGCTGGGCTTCATTAAGCTGCAGAAAGGTGTGGATGGGGCACCGCTGCGATCCTATCACTAGCAGAATACTTTTTTTTTTTAAATTTATGATAGTAACACACACAGAGAGAGAGAGGCAGAGACACAGGCAGAGGGAGAAGCAGGCTCCATGCACCGGGAGCCTGACGTGGGATTCAATCCCGGGTCTCCAGGATCGCGCCCTGGGCCAAAGGCAGGCACCGAACCGCTGCGCCACCCAGGGATCCCCAGAATACTTTTCAGTGCTATCATTTTTCCTGTTTAGCGTGGGACAGCACTGACCGAGGTCCATCCCAACGTCACGTCTTATTTCCCCCTAACTCCTGTGTGTTCCCAGGGGTGTAAGGGACTGCTTCCTAGCCCGGATAAACCTGACTTTGTGCTGAGAAGAACAAGGAGTGGCTGGAATCTTGATCTTTCTGCTATAGGTGCAGATTCCATTCTATTTTTTTCCATAGCCAGAGCATCTGTTTTGAATACTCTCTGCAGGCCATCTTGTTTTGCCGGCCTTTCTTCTTCTTGTCCCTCTGTTGTTTGCAAGGATGAATCAATGAAATGCTTTAGCGTACCTCCTGTTGGCGAGGCCCTGCGCTGGGAGTCAGGCCCCTGTAGGAAGGGCACACGCTGGCCATGTTCAGGGCCAAAGAAGCAAAATAACAGTGTCCTGATGGAGTCAGGGCAAGGAAAGTTCCTGGTGGTCGGAGTGGGATGGCAGTGGTCCTCGGAGCCGAGGCAGAGGAGATGGAGCTGGTGTTCCTGGGGACGGCCAGGAAGCAGAGCTGAGATAGAGCCAGGGGACAGGAAAGAGGAAGTCCAACTGGGTGCCCACCCTTGGCAGGGCAGGTAGGAGGTAAGGCAGGAAGGGTGAGGCATGTTCTCCACGCTGTGATGTTTGGGGCTCCAAGGCCCTCCCTTAAGAACAAAGCCTTTTCTTATAAGCAGTCCAGTCAGGTGAGCTAGTGAGGGGCCGAATTTATCAGGCTCAGTGACTTCCCCGTCTGAATGTATCAATAT